ACTGGAGTTAAGGACGGTTCGTAGCTGCCATGTGGGTGCTGGGAATCAAACCCGGGTCCTCTACAAGAGCAGTCAGTGCCCTTAACTGCTGAGCCATCTCTTCAGCCCCAAAACCCAGCATTTCAAAATAAATAAATAAATAAATAAATAAATAAATAAATAAATAAATAATCTCTATTGATTTGGGATGTCCTCTTTTTTAGCCCCAGCTGGCCTGGCATTCGCCATGTAGACCAGGCTGGCCTCAAACTCAGAGATCCGCCCCTGCCTCTACCTCCCAAGTGCTAGGATTAAAGGCGTGCACCACCCCACCAGGCTTTGGATGTCTTCTTAAAAAGATAAAAGTGCTGGTCATGGTGGCGCTTGCCTTTGATCCAGCACTTGGAGGTAGAGGCAAGTAGATCTCCATGAGGTCGAGGCCAGCTTGGTCTTCACAGTGAGCTCCAGACCAGGGAGAACCTATCTCAAAACAAAACAAAAAACAAAGATAAAAAAAGCAACAGGGAATGGAATAGATATTATAGCTCAGTGGTAGAATACTTGCCTAGCGCAGTCTGTGCCTTATGTTACAGGAAAAAAAAAAGCCTCAACTTAATTAGATATTCATCCTGAATATCACTAGAAAAATTAAAATATTTAAGTTACGTCTAAAATCTCCGTTATGGCCGGGCGTGGTGGCGCATGACTTTAATCCCAGCACTCGGGAGGCAGAGGCAGGCGGATCTCTGTGAGTTCGAGGCCAGCCTGGTCTACATGAGTTCCAGGACAGCTGGGGCTACAGGGAGACCCTGTCTCAAAAAGACCAAAAAAAAAAAAAATCTCGGTTTCGTATATATGTGTAATGTATAGTCGTTTATTACATCGTTTTACATATACTCATAAATATTCATGAGCCACTGAGATGGCTCAGTGGGTAAAAGTGCCCGTTGCTAAGCCTGATGATCTCTGGGTTCTGCTGGAAGGAGAGAGCTGACTCCCTCCAAGTTGTCTTCTGCCCTCCACACGCCTCTCTCTCTAGCCTTTCTCTCTCTCCCCCCAAGTTGTCTTCTGCCCTCCACACGCCTTTCTCTGCCTGCCTCTCTCTCACACAGATCTCAAATAAGTGTAATAAATATTCTTGTTTGTACAGAAATATAAATAAATAATTTAAATAATACTGAGGGTGTCACAGTTAGTTATCCCAACTAAGTCTAGCCCAAAGCAGCAACTGGAATCTCACAGCCCCCACCCTTTATCCCCCAATCCCTCGCGAGCGCGCGCCGCCTCCTCTTCTCCGGACTTCCGGGAAGGGAAGTAGGCGGAAATTCTGGCTGGCAGGTACTGACACGTGACAAGGGTTGCCATAGAGAAACAGCTCGGCCAGTTGGTTGTGTCGCCATTTCTGGGCGACTCTTTTCCAGGGCTGCTCCTTCCTAACTATGCCTAAAGTTGTGTCCCGGTCGGTGGTCTGCTCTGACACTCGGGATCGCGAGGAATATGACGACGGCGAGAAGCCCCTCCATGTCTACTACTGTTTGTGTGGCCAGATGGTCCTGGTGCTGGGTGAGCAGGCGGGAAGCAGAGGACGACTGCAGGGAGGGAGACGCCGGGTTTATTTATTTATTTATTTATTTATTTATTTATTTATTTATTTTCTCTTTTTCTTTTTGAGACTATTAAGTCTTTCTTTTTGAGGTTATTAAGTTGCACAGGCTGAGATTCTGTAGCCCAGGCTGGCCTCGAATTTGCCGGTAATCCGCCTGCCTGTTTCCAGAGTCCTGGGATTGCAGCGTACGCCACCACGACAGGTTCAAGATACTGTGCGGTGCTCCTAGTGACTATTCTTTGTCCATTCCTTCAGATTGTCAGTTAGAGAAATTGCCCATGAGGCCCCGGGACCGGTCTCGTGTGATTGATGCTGCCAAACATGCCCATAAGTTTTGTAACACCGAAGATGAGGAGACTACGTACCTTCGGAGGTAAGCTGCATGCTTTCTGCCTAGGATTTCACTGTTGTCTTGAGGTCTGTGACTGAAGAGTATCAGTATCCTATGTAGTGCTGAGCAGCTCATCCAGTAAGTCCCAATGCTTTGACATTTGTCATCATTCTCTAACTTTTGTTAATGCAGCAAATTCTTTTTTTGTAATTTTTTTTAAAATTCATTTTTATTTTGGGGCTGGAAAGGTGGCTCAGAGGTTAAGAGCACTGACGCTCTTGCAGAGGACCCGGGTTCAATTCCCAGCACCCACACGGCGGCTACGAACCGTCCTTAACTCCAGTTCCAGGGGAATCCGAAGCCGTCTTCTGACCTCTGCGGCATTGCACAACACGGGTGCATTCGTATGTGCAGGCAATATACTCGCACACATAAAATAAAAATAATAAATAAAATATTTTTTAATTTTATTTTTATTTTTTATATATGGCCTGCATATATGTAAGTGCAACCATGTCGTGCAGTGTCTGCGGAGGTCAGAAGAGGGCGTTGAATCCCCCTGGAACTGAAGTTACAGATGGTTGTTAGGACTATGTGAATGCTGGGTACCATTGCCATTTCATAGCTGGAACTTACAAATTACAGATTTGAATGAGTTCATACAACTTTTGTTTTGCTGGACTAGGAATGAAATCAAGGGCCTTGGGCTTACTGGGTGAGCACTCTACCACAGAGCTACATTCCCAGCCTCTCAATCTGTGGTGTTGTAAGTACTGTATGCCAGCACTGAGCTAGGTATTGGATCTCTGAATGAATAAGGCACAATCTTTATTCAAGAGATCAGTGAAGAAGCAGACTTTTTATTGTGATAGAAATACTGATGCTGTGAATAAAAGGCTAAGGGAAAACAGGTGCAAGTGGGTCATTTAGACTCTAAAAGATAGTGGAATTTGTGTTTGGCCTGAACTAGGATTTTACCACTTAAGGGATGGGGATGAGGAACATTCTAGGTGGAAGGAATATGGAAGCGTTAAGAGCATCAGATATGATGCACTTGGGAAATTTGAATAGTGCTTTGTGGCTAGAGCTGGGATTACTGTTTTACAGAAAGAGGTTCATGCATACTGGGGTGAAGATAGTAAAATGCTGAAGTAAAAAAAATGCTGAGGTAGACAAGTTTGTCCTTTATCTGAAGTGAAGAGCTATTGCCTGCGTGTGTGCATGCTTGTGGAGCTCAGGGGTATGTGTATGTGTGCATGTGTGCATGTCTGTAGAGGTCAGATGTGTGTGTGTGTGTGTGTGTGTGTGTGTGTGTATGTGTGTGTGTGTATACACTGTTTGTGGAGGCCAGGGGATAACCTTGGGTATTGTTCCTCAGGTGCCATCCACCTTTTTATGATTTTTTTGAGACAGGGTCTCTCATCAGCTTGGAACTTGCCAAGTAGGCTAGGCTGGCTGCTGGCCAGCAAGCCCCAGTGATCCACCTGACTCCACCTCCCCAGTGCTGGGATGACAAGTGCACCACCGTGCCTGACATTTTATGTGGATTCTGGGGAATCAAACTCAAGTCTTCATGCTTGCTTACAAGGCAGGCACTTTACTAAGTTACTTCCCCAGTCCTGTTTCCATTTTTCAAGCAGGGGAGTGACATGGTTAGATATGTTTTAGATTTAGGAATCCTTGTTGTATATGGGTAATTGGAACTGGGGAAGAATAAAGTTATATACAATGAGTATAGAGTGAGGACTGGGGATGTTGTGACTCAGTTGATAGAGTGCTTGCAATCCACAGCACTGCAGATACCAGGTATGGTGACACATACCCTTAACCCCAATGCTCAGGAGGTAGAAGCATCCTCAGCTATATAGCCTGTGCTAATTAGATCCAGTCTCAAATATATCCTCTCTTTCTTTTAGTCTCTGTCAGGGAAAGAGGTTCACTATGTGGAAGACAGGGGTCATCCACAGGTGCAAAACACCACAGAGCAATCGGTCCTAGAGAATTAAGTCCGCCTATTTATTCAACAGATATTTCATTTTCTGAGCTCCCCTCATGTGCTGGGTCCTGTCTTAGTAGCTTGGAATATACTAGTATATTAGCATGCTAGAGCTGCCACAGTAGAGTATCACAAAACGGGCTTTAAACCACAGAAATTAATAGTCTCATAGCTTTGGAGGCTAGGAGTCTTGTCAGCAGGGCCATGTTCTTTTGGAAGATCATAGGAAAGGATCCTTCCTTACCCTTCCTACCTTCTTTTTTATATTTTAATTATTTGTGTGTGTGTGTGTGTGTGTGTGTGTGTGTGTGTGTGTGTGTGTAGAGTTCTGAGGATAATGGGAGTCAGTTTTCTCCTCCCATCATATGGATCCTGGGAACCATCATTAGGCTTGTTGAAGCACTTTATACCCCCTGAGCCAAGCCATCTCACTGAGCCCTGGCCCTCTTGTCTCTCTCCTCTCTGTCTCTGTCTATCCCCTCCCCCCAGCAGTTTTTGGTGTTCCTTGGTTTATCAGTGAATCACTTAATACCTGTCTGCATCATCATATCTGTGGCTTTCTTCACTGTCTCTTTCCTTATTTTAGCTATTTATTTAAATTTTTTTTTTTTTGGTCTTTTTGAGACAGGGTCTCCCTATAGTCCCAGCTGACCTGGAACTCACCGTGTAGACCAGCTGGACTTGAACTCACAGAGATCCACCTGCCTCTGCCTCCTGAGTGCTGGGATTAAAGGCATGCACAGTCTTTTTTTTAAGACTGTCTTGTAGCCTAGGCTGGACTTGAACTTCTGATCTTCTTACCTGTGCCTCTCTGGTGCTGGAATTACATACATGTGCTGCCATGTCCTGTGTTTTCTATCCTTCATTATTTAGATCACTGATTTTGAAAATTATGACCTTTATGATCACTATAATAATGTATAATCTTTATAGATACTTACAAATATAATAGTATTCTATATTAAGATGTATTGTTCAGTTAGTACAGAAGGTAATCTAATACAACCAAGCCACAGGCTCCTATGACACCATAAGGTAGGGCCTCCATGGCTACCCCAGAAAACTACTGGGTTACCCTAGACTGATGTAAAAATCCTGAAATCCAATGAGCCACATCTTTAGGTGAGTCAGGTTTAGGCTTTGTCTTACTTAGTGGCGGGTAGTGCCTAGGCCAGTGTGGGCAATTGAGGAGTAGGCTAGAATTTTTCGTAGTTGTGTTTGGTTTAATCCACCTCAGCCACCGATGAAAACTGATATGATAGCGGATAGAGGAACTATGGTGGTATTTAGGTAGTAGGAGATGTGGAATATGATGGCTAGTGGGGCAATTTTTGTCACGTGAGTAGTAGGAGTCCGCTTAGGATTGGGACTCCTTGGGTAACTTCTGGTACTCAAAAGTGAAATGGGGCTAAACCAAGTTTTATTATTAAGGCAATTAGTACTAGTGAGTAGATGTAGAATTGTGTGTTGTGGTGGAATTGTCAGATCCCTAAATTGTGGTAGTTTAGGATGATGGCCAGTAGTAGGATTATAGAGGCAGTTGCTTGGATTAGGAAGTATTTTGTGGCTGCTTCTGTAGAACGGGGGTTGGAGTTGAATATTAGGGTGGGGATGATGGCTAGCATGCTTATTTCTAGGCCGGCTCATATTAGGATTAGATGGTTACTGAGAATGGTGATAATGGACCCAACGAAGACTGTTAGTAAGATGATGGTTAGCGCCAGGATGTTAATTAGTACGGGAAGGGTTAAAACCAACATTTTCGGGTTATGGGTCTGATAGCTTTTTTAGCTGACCTTACTTTAGTTTATAGAATTTGGTGTAATGGTAGCACGAAGGCTTTTGGAGCCCTAGGTGTAGGTTTGATGCCTGGAGTTCTAGAAACAAGAGGACTTAAACCTCTATTTTTTACTCTATCAAAGTAACTCTGTTGTCAGACATGTTTCTTCTATATGTATGGTGGGATGCTTGCCATGGTTATTGGTATTGAGATGTGTCATATGCAGAATGCTAGGGTTAGAGGGAGGAAGTTTTTTCATAGTAAGTGTATTAGTTGGTCGTATTGGAATCGTGGGTATGATGCTCGGATTCATAGAAATGTGGTTGTTAGGATTAGTGTTTTGAGTGTGAAGTTAAGTGTAAATAGTTCTGGGTTGTGTGGGTTGTATACAGTTCCAAGGAAAATGATGGTTGATAGGGCATTTATTATGATGATGTTGGTGTATTTGGCTATAAAGAATAGTGCGAATGGACCTGTGGCATATTCTACATTGAAGCCTCATACTAGTTCAGATTCTCCTTCTGTTAGGTCAAATGGGGCTCGGTTTGTTTCTGCTAATGTGGACATGAATCATATGAAGGCTAGGGGTCATGCTGGTAGTAAGAATCAGGTTAGTTCTTGTGATGAGATTACTGATAGTAGTGAGAAGGACCCTGATAGTAGAAGGATAGATAATAAAATGATGGCTAGTGTTACTTCGTATGAGATGGTTTGGGCTACTGCTCGTAGGGCTCCAATTAGTGCATATTTGGAGTTTGAGGCTCGACCTGATCATAGGATTGAGTATATGGATAGGCTTGATGTTGCTAAAATGAATAGGGCCCCTAGATTTAAGTTAATTAGTGGGTGAGGTATTGGGAGTGGGATTCATAAGGATAGGGCTAGGGTGAGGGCTAGGGTTGGGGCAATGGTGAATAGGGTTAGTGATGCGGTGAGAGGTTTTAGTGGTTCTTTAATGAATAGTTTTATGGCGTTGGCGAAGGGTTGTAGTACACCGTATGGGCCAATTACGTTTGGCCCTTTTCATAGTTGCATGTATCCAAGGATTTTTCGTTCTACTAGGGTTAGGAAGGCCATGGCTACTAAGATTGGTAGTAAAAGGGTTAGCACGTTAATTAGGTGCACTATTAGGGAGGGGGGGTTGAACCCCTGATTATAAGGTTTTAAGTCTTATGCAGTTTCCAGGCTCTGCCACCCTAATAACCCTTGTCTTGGGTAGTGGTAATACATATTTTGTATATTTAGATAGTTTCATATGTTAGGTTT